CCGGGGCGCCCCAGTCGAGGGGGGAGCGCCCCCCCTTTTGGCAGGCCGGGCTGCGGCCGAGTAGATCTCGCTTCGAGCGCAGCGCTTTAGATCTTGCGGCCGTTTGCACGCCTGGTTCCCGGGGCTCCGCCGGCGGCAGCGAGCTGGCGATGGAGCCGGGACGTCTAGCCGAGCGGCCCAAGTCCGAGGCCCGGCCGGCCAGCGCAGCGGACTCAGGTCTCGATCGTTTTGGACGCCCGCGGTGTTTTGTTTCTGACCTTCTGAACCGGGGCCTAAATTCCCTACAGACTAGGGGTAGTGGGGGAATTTTCCAGTGCCAAGCAGTGTTTTGTCAAAAGATCTTCAACAAACACCCAACAACCAACCAACCCCCCTTTCCTGTCGTCTTTTGGTCATCTTTCATTTACTTTCCCATTCTTCGGTTTTAATAAAGAGCGAGTGCTGTCATAGAAAATAAAATGACATGATTCTTGCCCACCGTTAAGCTACGCGGATCAGTGATGCAGGGCGGGAGTGGGGCAGGAAAGGTTGCAGAGGTGAGCCCAGACCTGCTACATTCTGGCAGTTTCTTGTCACAGAGGAGAGGTGCTTGGTAATGTCTTTCGGGATTACATTTGGCAAAAGGAATATGAAAACACACTGAGTCAAATCTGACTTACATAGAATTGCCCCTGTGAGTTTTCCAGGCTACAATTATACAGGAGTAGAACGCTTCCTTTCTCCGCCCATAGTGGGGGGGCGCCTGGTGGTTTCGAACTGCTAACCTCTAGCTTAGAGACCTGGTGCATAAAAAGTAAGCCACCACAGCTTCTTGGCAAAAAGAAGAGAGATCTGTTATTTATTTGTTCACCAGATTTGAGGTGTCTGCTATGTGCTAACCAGGTCTTGGCATGGAGGCTAATTTTTCTCTTTTTTTTGCTCTTGAGAAGTAAGGATTTGGTGTGGACATCATAATTAGGTGTAAGATGCATGCAAAGTAGTAGTTGGGTCTTCAGGGAGGTATTTTCCAAACCGGGGAAGAAAAAGATTACCTTTTCAGAATCCTTATCACAAGTCAGTCCGGAGTAGATCAAACCATATATAAGGCTTTCTAGGCAGAGCAAGACTTTACTACAGTAGTAAGCATGCCAAGAGCAAGAATATCTCAGTCAGGAAATTAGAGAAATCCAGGAAGTATGTAAATACTTGGCCGTGTCCTGGTCTAAAGGGAAAAGTCTCCTGGGCAGGTATAAAACCTATATGGTTATTAAAGCAGCAAGCATTTCATCGCTGCCAAAGCTTGAAATGGTTCCATTAAATATATTAATCTTACAACTAAGTAATATTTTGCACCTTTTCAAACAACAGTTCAAAATTTGGAATTCCCATGGGGTTTTTTTTCTACAAAGTGGAATGCCTGACTAATTGTGGCTAACCATTTTCCTTGACACTTATTACTACATTGGTGTTTTGATTCTTATGTACATGCCTGATGAACACAATTCAGCCTCTCTGGTCAGACAAGGGAACCAAGTGAATGTACTAGGGTAAATTACACTGTGATAACTTAGACTCTTGCCAATCCCTGCACCCCTTTTCTAATCCATTCTAACCCCACCTTTGCAACCCCTTCCATGCACTTCTCTACATATCTGCAGGAGATCAGAGGCTGTAATTTTGTGGAGATTTGCTGAGCGTTGTAACTCTCATGTTTATACCCTTCCTTCGTTGCTCCGAAGCCCTGCGGTGGACAAGAGCTCCCGCTTTCCTTGAGGACGGCACGAAAGTAGCAGAGCAGGAAAGACTTCATTCCACCTGTGGGAGCACAACCGCAGAGAGAGGAGGTGGGTTATGGCAATTTGAAATAAGAAAGTAAATCAGATTTCTGTTTCGCCCTTAAAAAAAGGAAAACACAGAAGCCAACCTGCTTCTGGAAAAGTATTCATGGTCCTTAACCCTTGCAAGACCAAATTATTTCCTGTTTTGAATTTGTTGTTGAAAAACCATGTTTTTTCAGTTATGAAGGCATTTTGAATGAAGCGAAAAAACAATGTTTGCAGTAATACGGATTTTGATCCTATCCGTGGTACATTTGCTCCAAGGGGTGTCTGATGTTGAAGGCCAGATGCACTAAGTGGGATGGCAGTTTCCCACTAAATCACTAGAACCAATCAAACTCACTACTATTGAGTTGATGCCAACTCATTGCAACTCTATAGGACAGAGTAGAACTACCATTGTGGGTTTCTGAGACTAACTCTTTACCAGAGGAAAAAGCCCCATCTTTCTCCCTTGGAAGTGCTGGTAGCTTCAAAATGTTGTCCTTGTGGTTAGCAGCCCAGTTTGTACGCTAAACCACAAAGATGGAAAATGTAGGTAGGCACTGTATGTTCCATGCACCACAAAAAGTTCAAACATTTCCCCTGAAGTTAAGGAGGGTAGTATAGAAA